ATTGGTCCACGGACCGGTACCGGTTAACGGACCGGGGGTTGGGGACCACTGCCTTAGAGTGTGTGGCCAAAAATTCAGGAAGATTTGATGACGAGGCTTAGGAAGCTGTTTAAACAAAGGTTAAAGGATCGCTATATATCTATTGTCCACTCCTCTTTACTGTTAACACTGAGCTAGTTTGAAAACATAACTGCCCCTGTAGTTATTACATGAGTTCTACATTCATGAAAAGGAGGGGGTACCTTCACTACGACAGGTCAGAATGTAAAAGATACTTAACAAGACTTAATCAGAGATAAACACGTCATTGATAATTTGCTCACACGAGAAACATACATTGTGTTGGAAATATTTGTTTAATTATGCTAGTTTTAATTATGTTTACCTGCATGGTCTATGGCGTGCAAACAGCAACACGTCATTACGGGCTGTTTGAGACCACCTCTAAACTGTACGTTAGACTCATCAGACAGTAAAGAACTCGCCTTGACATAAAAGTAATTGAGTTAACAGGGGCGGAATTGTCTTAACTGCCGCACACAGTGGTCTCCGAAGGCGCGTCTTCGTATGTTTGTATTTTTCTAAGGTAATTAATTTCTTCTTTGTGGCTTTGGTTTCTGATGATTATGTTGAGCTGTTAGTGTGATTTTATACAATTGATTGTTTGAATAAATTCTGGTTGACTGTGAAGTTGAACAATGATTGTTGTCTTTGTGGTTTCACTTTTACACACAACATTAACGGACCTGGAGAGACGAGATAACAACGAGCAACAGGTAGAACATATCTCGTTTCTCAACGATACTTAAATTTATTTAACACAGTTTTGAGAAAATTCACTTTTACCCATTACAGTTTATGACCTGCAGGGGGTGTGCGCGAGCAAGAACAAGCTAAAATAACGTCGTTGGAAAGATTTAAATGCTTCATAAAGATTTATCTCATCATCACTAGTTTGTTGAACAATTTCATAACACAGCCCAAGCCAACACGTAATTCTATAGTTTGTTCAAAATTCAACTGACAGACAGCCTGAACTAGAGCCACGTGTCCACTAACACCGACCAATTCTCTGTTCTCACAATCACAGAACCACACACAGAAAGTCCCGGACAACCACTGACCTTCTGAACAAAGAAGCAGAACATTTGACATAAACATACCAACCTCTGAAACTGAGTCCAGAAGCCGAAATATAGCTGAGGCTTCTTGTTCTCTGACGCGTTTTGCAAATCTGAACATGAAGGAAATACCGCCACCAAGTGGTACGGAGGATGAATCTGTTTTTCAAGAGTTCCTCTTCTTCTTCTTGTCGGTTTTATGGCGGTTGGCAAGAAACTTTTAGTAGCATTACCGCCACTTACTGGTATGGAGTGTGGTTCGTGATGGTTTACATATTTATCCTCATCTATACATACATATTCTACCCTAATTCTATCTAACATACACTCACACATTCACACATAAAACATACATACTTATGCACAACTTTGTCTATCATGCCTTCATTCACAAACACTTACTATAATTAAATTCTATGAAATAATTTAGTTTTCTTAAGAAATCGAATAATTATTTGCATATGTTTACTCCCTAAATTCTTCCTCAATATATCTAATAAATTAATCTTCTCCTTAATCCTTTCACACTCTCTCTTCATATATCTTCTCTCTATTTCGTATTTATGGCATTCTAATATAACGTGTTCTATAGTTTCATATTTATCACAATAATCACATTTGCCAGTTTTATGTTTTTGAATTTTGAAAAGTGTATAATTAAGTCCTGTATGTCCAAATCTTAATCTTGTTATCACTCTTTCCTCCTTTCTATTTCTTCTTTCTCCTACATTCTTCTGAATTTTATAAAACCATCTTCCTGTTTTATCTTTTTTGCCAAACTTTCATCAGTTTCTCTTTAACAATACTCTTTCCTTCAGCTTTACTTATTTTAACTGTAAAACTAATAGGATTTTGAATTGCCCTCTTTGCCATTTTATCTGCCCTCTCGTTTCCTTCTACCCCAATATGTGCTGGAACCCACACAAATACAACTATCAAACCCATGTTTTGTATTCTGAATAATGTATGAAATATTTCTAATAAAATGTCCATCCTACTATCTGTTTGATTATTTTTTAAACTTAATAATGCAGAGCTTGAATCTGAACATATTGTTTTTAATGGTTTTATATCTTCTACCCATTGTAAAGCCAATAATATTGCCAACATTTCTCCTGTGTTACTGATAATCCATCTGTAATTCGTTTTCCTATTTTTATATTGAATTCTGGTACTAC